TTCCAAAACATATATATTGTTTGTTATAAGTTGAAGCTTCTTCAAAATCAAAACAATTAGTGATATGCAAAAAAGAAATGGCTTTTGTATCACAAACTTCCTTAATCACTGATGTGGTTTGGGAGTAATTGACTCTCAGGAGACCAAGCCACATCCCAGAAATTTACTTATCAAGAGATGGAAAATAGTCTGTGCCGGATTCTGCATAACAAATAACTTGGGATAAAAAGATGGGAATTTGATGTATTGCAAGGAAAATTGAAATGCTATTTTATCCTTCTTTAGTCCTGTGAGATACAGCTTAAGTGGACAGTGGGATTCAAGAAGAAAACCAAAGAAGAAAGAGGCAGAAGAAAAAGAATTTCAGGCCTTTATTATTATTTTTTAAATACTGAGCTGATTCTCATAAAATGAAGATCAAAATCCTGTTGTGTCACATAAGCAAAGTCAAGGATTTGGTCTGTTCCCTGCTAATAAACGAAGAGTCCTTGCTACAATTCTTAGGATGTATGTTTGCATATGAGTGTTCACCAAACCACCATGAATATGTGTCCCTAAGAAACACAGTGGGAGCTATTTATTTACTGACAAGGAATGGACCAGAAATTATACTTTGCTTACATTATGCAACAGGATTGTGGCCAAAAATTCCCAACCTGGTGTTCTCCAGATGTGCTAGAGTGCAACCCCTCTCATAGTCAACAGAAGTACCAATTATGAGAACTGTATTTCTAACACACCTAGAGAGGACTAGATTGGGGAAGGGTGTCATAAACATTCCTGATAAGGAAAATTTTGCTGTCATATCCAGCTTAAAAATGCTAGAGAACTGTAGTAGCAGTAAAGAAGGGTTGGAATATCAAAGAGGAATATTCACAAACTGTGTTGAGTTTAAAGGTATACCATATGTCTGTCTGTCTGCTTACATACTGTGTGCTGTTCTGTATACAAAAACATCCAAATTTTCATGCAGTATTTTTCCAGCTGCCAGATGGATGGTATATAACTCAACTCAACTTAACTCAATCAATCAAATAAAAATACAATTTTATTTTCCTGACATTTGATGGTTTTAATGAAATTGAGTTAGTTCACATTAGTTAGCCTTCTCAAATGAATATACTGTTTTCTAATCTGCAAGAGTACAAATGGATGAGTGTGTGTATGGTTGCCATGTAGTGACACTAATTCACACGAATAGGTTTTCAGTATGATTACTTCCTGATTACAAGATCCACGCCTAAAGTGTTCATCAGGTGATAAGGAGTGACTACTATCATCAGACCTTCTCTAACTCTTGCCTCCTCCTTGTACCATTATTCAAATTATATTATTACTACAATGGTTTCAAAACATAATATCTGAAATTTGAATATTAAGGCATTAATAATAATAATGGCTGCATATGGTGCTGGTCTTAAAGGAACTATGTATAGAAATTAAGGCATGATGCAATAATAATAATTTTGGGATTTTCATTCCTTTAGAAGTTCAAGTATAAGGATGTTAAATGACAACAATATATTCATGGAAACCATTTGAAGCAACCCAGAAATAATGAATAATTGAGATTTATATTCCAAATGAACAGTTTTGCTTGTTTGAACCAGGACAGCATACATCATGCCATGTTGTGCAGCTATCTAAATTAATAACAAAATGTCAACTAGTGGCTGTTTACAGACACATGATCTTCCAAAGCTGTTGTATTCATTCAGGCTCATCATTCATTGACTTTTCCCCCCTGCAAACATATGGCAAGTCTCTTAATGAAGCTGCAGTTCACTGTGATTCTAGATAAATAATCATACAGTACTTGCAAACCATTCTGTTCTTTTTCAATTGTTAGATTTGCTATTTAGTTTATTTGCAGATTTTCTATTATGTAAGCACTATTGCAGTTGAAACCATTTAAACAGTATGATCTGGAATTCAGAATGCCAGAATCCCCATAAACCAAAGCAGTGAGTTGTTCTTTTAAGCTGGCAGATCACTCTATAAGTGTTACTGCCATTGTTGCTATACATAAACTTATAGTCAGAATATTTTTAGGGAAGAAATTATAGAAGCAGGATCATGGATATAATTTAGGAACAAATACATTAAAGACATTTGAAAATGAAGTATATAATGCGATAAAATTATCAAAGCAATAGCTTTCAAGTACTGTATATTAAAAGACAAATTACGATAATAATTTTGGTATGAGATTAGGTCTGTTCGAAGTGTGAATTATTTGTCTATGGAGCTATAATACACTAAAAAGACACTATTAGTAAATCAGCAAATATTCTAAACAATAACTTCTGGAATTACAAAGCTGTTCATGCATTGAAGAGGGGAATCTGATTTTCTCATATTGTTTTAATCACAATTATCTCTGTACATGTCAATATTCTGTTTATTATAATTACTGAGTTCTTTGTTTCAATCTAGTGCGTACTCAAAGCAATATAGAGATCTTCTCTGTAAACTAGGTTTCTCCATTGACTTTGCCATAAACACTTGTATATATACAGTAAGAATAAGTGTACAGATTTGTCCCAAAAGTTAAAAGAAAAATGTCAATGGAAACAGCTGTTTCAGCTAAATTAGGTTTTGCTTATAATATGCTAGAGAAAGAATCCATATTAATCTCAGGCACAGCTGCTGAGCATTTCTGCAATGTTAACTATGCTCTAGTCAAAGTAAGTATATAACTACTCCCATGTCTCCCATTATTTATGTCTAGTAGTACTATCACATATTGCATTTTGCCCCTCAATTAAGGATTGTATTTATCAACATTTCTCAAGTCTCTCTTGCCTGAAATCTTCCAAGGCATAGAGAACAGCAGTTTCTTCACATATTCCGAACATGTGGAACCCCACCCCCATCCCCAAATTCAATCCAGATCCTGAAAATGAAATAACAACAACATGGTCCATCACATTTTACATTCATGTAGGCAAGCAGAATCACATGTATTGCCCATGTTTCAGATCTCCACAGGATTGCTGATTGGATCCAGATGTATCGTACCCAGCAAGGACACTGAGTTCACTGAATTCATTCACTAGAACACATGAATCCATTCTACCTATTCAATTGTCCCAATGAAGGCAAAATAATTTAGTCATGCCTGTAACAACTTTTATATTTCAAGTGTGACTTACTCTGGATCTAACCCATGGTATGGATATGTCTGTGCACCCAAGACCACACACCCAAGAAAATAGTGGTGGTCAAAATAGTTGGTGGTGTTTGCATGAGAATTTTGTTTCAGTTCATTTTCTATAAGAATGCATTCTAAACTGTACATTTCTTTCTATTACCAATTTCAAGAAATTGGATTTTTTTTAAAAAACTGCTGAATTAGGGCAGCCAACTCTTTCTTTTTTTCTTTTTTTAAATGAAAATTTAAAATGTGAATCCTCATCTTTACCAGTTATGGGACAGGCAGATATAACATGATCCTCTCCAGAAATTGTCGTTTCTATTGAATTTAGTGAAGAAAAATGGGTGGAGCACTTTAGTTTGCCTTTGAAGAATTTATTTAAATGGGCAGGTACTGAATTTCCTGTGAAAACAGGCTAATGGCTACATTAGGGTGAGAATCAAGGAAGAACTTTATAGCATGTAAAGCTGGGTATTGGCTCATAAAATGGCAAGGAAGGAGTTCAGTTTGCATCTTAGTACTTGGAATAAGTGAACAATTATATCTATACATTTTCAGCTGTTTTAGAAATGGGCACTTAAAACCTGTTGAAAAGTACCAATCATAAACCAACATATCTCCACTGATGTAAGTGAATAACACCTGTCTTTATTTTACAATTTTGTGTGAAATGTAGGCTTCACATTTTTATCCAGAGCTTCAAAACGAGTCATTTCACTTTCTATACTTATAACATTTTAGGCCTTCAATAAAGAATTATAGTACTTTTCAAGGTGTCTTCAACTGGTTTGTATTTTGTAAGATAAGTCTATCTACATATTTTCACCATTCTTACCATGTGCATTGACTGGAAATATTTGTGGCAAAATCTAATAGGAGAAAGAATAATGCTTCTCAATGCTTTTTAAGTTGAAAGCAATGCATGTGTAAGCAGAAAATCAGTTGAAAATGTTTATGTTTAACTTGAGAAGTTGACTGAAACTGACTGGCTTAACATATCAGCAAATATTCAGACGAGATATATTACAATGCTCCTCTATCTTCATAAGTCACTTACCTATTGAGGATGCTACCCTCTGCTTTTTCTAAGCTTTCTCTTACACTATTTTGGTGTTAAATAAAAGTATAGATATGGCACCAATACCTACAATGTTTTGATTGTCTACCAGAAAAATATCCAGCATTGAAATTAACAAAAAAAAACAAACCCCATAAGCAATCGTTCTATGGACTTGCACTCTAAGTTCAAATTGCAAATCAATGTGATACTTTTATTAGACCAACTTTTCTATAAGTTGGCATGTCAAGTCAGAAAGTCTGATGATTGAACATCTTTTCTAAGATGTTCTACAAAAAAAAAAATCAGAAGCCTTTGTTCACCACTTTCATGGATAAATCAACTGTGACATACCCGCACAGACTCAAATTACCAGAGTGCTATAAAGTTTCAGAGTGCTCTGAGGTCATTGTTCAAATGTCAAACATTTGACCTTGGTAGGTTTAATAAAGGTATCACCTTCATAAGCAATTAGGACATCAGTTATTGTCCAACACAGCTCCCTCTGTATACGAAGTAAACGAAGTCTTCAAGGCTAGTTTCGCAGGGTGAACTTATTTCCAGATAATTCTAGGTGTCATTCCAAGTGTAGCAGTCCAACATGAAGCTATCACTTAGTGACTACTTGCAGAAATTCAAATTGGATCTGTGCTGGCCTAGAGCAAAATTGTTGACAAATCTGACCAACATCATACTTGTTTCAACATGCAGGTAAAATACATGACAGTCTAGTGGCTGCCAATGTTAGCATTTTTATGACATTCCCTTTCCTGAGCTGATAATCACCTGTGCTCATGAGGCTGGGCGGGTTTCGGGTGGTTACCTGTTGCCTACTTATTACTGCTAAGAACAAGGAAAACGGTTCCCAGGCAGCATGCACAAGAGAGAAAAGAAAAAAGGAAAAATGAAAATAAAAATGTGCCACTTAATAAAACTGCATTTTAATTCCAAGAACTTGCACTCAGAAAAAAAAGAATGTTGAGAGATATGGAACCATTTATGAACTCTCTGCTTCAGTTTCAATTAGGCGCTGAAATTAATGAAACACACTCTGAGAACATAGGCAGTGATTGTTTTCTGTTTAGCAACGCGGATGCAATTTTCACTAATAAAGTGTCAATACTAATGTATATGGTTTGGGAGGAAGGGGGAAAATAGGTTCATGGAAAAAGAACAGCTCAATTACATTGTAAGAACATAAGGTATATGTCATTAAGAAAACAAAGGGGGGGGAACTGATTATAAACCAGTTTGAATTAAAATTCTGTGATAGAGTACTGGTAAATTAGGATTTAATTATCAGCTTGTTTTAAAAGGTTGCCTGTTACACTAATGATACACATTTAAGTTGACAAAAATGTTACCTGTTTTTTATCCCCAGCAGACTCCTGCCTCCTAATTTAAATACAGCTAGTCTGCTTGTTGGTATGATGTTTATGTTAAGGAAGAAAGGAACAAAAGATATCAGGCAGACAAAGCACAGAGTAAATAAAAGAAAGAAGGACAGTGGCTTTCTGCTTCAAATCAGAATATGTAATGGAATACCAAGTGTCAAAAAAAAAAAAGATAAATAATACCTGTGAGACCTCTAATGTAAAAGAAGGAAATACATTTTAGAAATATGGGACTGGGATAAAATAAAATGAATGCAACAAGTTATCACAGACATTTTACCCTCAAGTGTAGCTAAAGGAACATATTTCTTTATGTATGAACATCCTCACCACTGAGAAACATAGTGTTCACCACGTGGAGTACAAGAGGAACATTAGTTGCCCACTATCAAAGACAGAATCCCCAATAAGATGGATTTTCAAATTGATTTGGGCAGATATTTCAGGAGTGGATTGAAGGATATTAAATTAAGGTAAGCTGCTTCAGTCTGACTCTTGAATGGAATAGAGGGGCAAAAAACAGTGCAGTTTCTTACTTCTATTATTTTTTTCTTTTGTTTTAAATGTATTATGATGGTAATCATAATCATGATCATTATACTGGATGTTGGCTTTGTTTGTGGTTTTAGCAATATGGTGGCAGTAACAGCAATCTGGTGGCCACATTTTTTTCCTTGAATGAAAAACACCTCCTCCCAGTGGAAAGCACCTATACATATACCTATGTAGTTCTCCTTAAGAATGATGTAAGTTATACACTGCCCAGTAGTTAGTGTATAACATCTAAAGTTATATGTTGGCTTCTAGGGTATGCAGAAAACTTATGCATTATCAGTCCATGCATTTGCTACTCTAGGTACCACGTGCCTGAATAATGATTCTGGGAAGGATGAATGGCAGTTGTTGTGATTGCCATGTTGCTGAATCTGATAACTTCAACTTGTCACATCTTGGAAGAGTGTAGGATCAGAGCTTTGAATGGTCAAACAGTAGAGTTGACAACTTAGTAGTGAACTGATCTACCCAAATTTAGGGAAGAAATGAGAAAGGGAGAAACCAATCACACAAGATATGAATGGCCCCAAGCAGATTTGGGCCAACCAGCTCTGTGGCTTTCAAAGAAGAGAGAGGGTGAGTTTCATGGTAGATGTCATTTCAGCTCTCAGACTGTCTCTAGTTCAAGTCACAGAGCATATCGTTTTTCCAATATTACAGCAAAGACTGCAAAAATTAATTCCAGTACATGTAGTTAATGATTATGAAGGAGGGCAAAGCTGTACAAGAAGTAGAGAGCTGAAGCAGTTTACAGACTAGGAGAGCAAGTCATCCCATAATTTTGGAGGAAATCTCTGTGAGCTATCCATGTTGTACCAACTTTAATAGAATGTGCTTTCTTTTCCACTCAAAATAGCACTATGTTCTCCCCTAATTATGTATGCTACACAAAAGCATCTTCCCATCCTTATAGATTTTCAGAACTGATTTGAAACAAATTCAGACAATTAGGAAAGCTAGGCTAGAGGATTACTTGTGTCACTAGAGGTAAATCACTGTAATGCCCAGAAGAGGAACATGGTATCCTTTCCTTTTTTGGCAACTCACATTTCAAATGTGTTTCTCACTGTCTTCAATAATTTTTTTTAAATTATATATAAAAAATCCTCTACATTTCCCTACATTTCCTAGGATGAAGGAAAAAATGCATGAATGGTTTTATTTGGACAGAACAGCAACAGCAAAAGCAAGAGCAGCATCAATAACAACAACAAACATGCACAACATTATATTGTGATAATAATAACAAGCTTATCAAATTGCTGGCACTCCGTTATAATTTTGTCTGCTATTGTAGAAAAACAGAAACATATTACCACAGTGAAGATAATTCACACACGACATTTAGCTCTGTTGCAGGATAACTATAGCAAACAAATCATGCATGGGAGGAGGGGCAATGGGGACCCACAAACACACCTCAGACAAGGACAGATAAATTAAATCAATAGGCAGCACAAATATAAGACAGATGAGTTTTCCCATATCACTTCAGTAAATTCAAATCTTTTCCTCCTCATCCCAAGAGCAGTGGGATGAGTGATGAGGGTGTCTGTATCTCTGTGTTTGTATTTGCTGATACTGGTTTGTTACATTCACATTTTATATTGTTAGCATGGGCCTTAAAATCTACGAAGAGGAACTTAAGACTGATTTTCTAGTTTTCTATGAAATATATGGATGTGCTCTTAGGATAGTCTAATATTCAGATTATAACACATATAGTTTAAAGGGCTTAGGTCAGAAACAATAAAGTTATTTAAAAAAAACATATGGAAGAACCACTAGAACATTGCTTTACATTAGTCTTCTTTTCAGCGTAGACATGTTCTGTTCTATACTTATGTCATATAATGAATCTCTGGAGAGTCTTCTGCTATTAATTTCAAAGTGGAGGTAAGGTCTCAGTTTCAAAAGCAATATGAAGTTTCTCCACCCTCATTTACACTGTAACAGTATTTCAAGAGCTCCCTTCTCATGCAGTTTGTTATAGAGTGTAGCAATGATTTTCAAGATATGGAGAAACAGATTGTGTAGTTATACATTACAATCTGTGAAATGTATTGTTTCATATGTATTCTCAAAGGCTTTTCATATGTATTCTCGAAGACTATCGTTTCATATGTTATGTATTTCATTGGTTAAATGTTTCCATGTATGGACTACAAAAGTATTGAAATCTGAAGGTCTTCAAAGAATAAAACTTCTAATCCCTCCTGCAAGGTTTACAATATATGGATGTTTGGGGGGGGATGTCCAAAATTCATGGTGCATTTCTTTCTCTTTACTGTAGCTACCTTCCATTTTTTTACACTATGTTGCCTAAGTAAAAAGTGGTTATCTATAGGGTTTGCTTCTGAAAGCATGATACATAAAGTTTACTGTCTAGACTTTTAAAAACTAAGTTCTGAAATATATGGAGATGCCACTTGGAAAGAATGCTCGTTCATAGTTTTTGCTGGCGGAGAAAAGGAAGCCAGTGTGATCTTCACTCTTAGCCAATAGGAGTACCATAAAGATATGCATTCTGTGACCAAAAGTTACCATGAAGTCATATTAGGGCTGCAATGGTGGCATATCAGAGAGAAGGAAAAAGCAGATTCAAGGCAGTGGGTAATCAAGACTACACATTGAGTCAAGCTAGAAGTCAATGCAAACTGTTTTGTTGTTTTTCACTCACATGGATCACTTGTGCTAAAGATGTGAAAATCAGCTTTCACATATTTAGCAACATTCATACAATATTCAGGAATAACAGATTAAAAAGACTACATATGTTCAACAGTATTAAAACATAATAAACTTGCTGAAGCATATGCTCAATATCTCCTAACTGTATAAGTTCAAAATAGGACTAACCTCTAGGGAACTTTCATTTTTTAATCCACACACAAAAATAAAGATGACAGACTGACAATGTGCATTTACAGAGGGAAAAAACACATGGAAGGAAAATGAGAAATATACAAAAGAGCTTTACAATAAAGAATAACACATAAGAAAAAAGGTGGCACACTCTCTTTCAAGAAAATGACATGCACCATTCACAGTATCCTCTGTTACAATGATGTCATCAGTAGAAGCATCTCTACCATATTCTGTGATGCTTTACGGGGAAGCTGAAGTGCTACACACCACCAAGCTACCTATTAAAAACTGGTGAGCTCTACTAAGGCCTGGTGAGCTCTACAAAATTGTCCCAGTTTGTATACAGATGTAATGTTAAATAATAAAGAGGAGTCTTGGGATTCTTAAAAACGAACAAGTTTCACCTGGGGTAGGCTCAATTATGAAGGGGGCTGCAATCTGCAGAAGCTTAAGGTTTAAATCTTGAGATTCTTTTCTGTCTGATTTTAATGTGAGTTAGATAAAAATTTCAGGCCTTGTCTTTTCATGTGATGTGTATTGACCATCAGATTTGATCCCAAGTATTGGTGAGCAAATTTTACATTTCCTAGAATTCTCCAGTCAGCACACAATGGTTTCGCCTAGCAGACAAAACAAGTACATTCGCATATGAGTCAAATAAATGGAATTCAGGGGAAGTCCTTCTTTTCAAAAGGAAAAGCAGACTTTGAGAGAAATGGGATCTGCTAGAAATATAAACTTCTAGTGTGAAATTCATTCTCTGTTCCTAAGAGACTAATTCATTTTCCACCCATGATGTTATCAGTATCAATTTTCTTGTATTTTTTTTTTCTGGAATGTATTTGTCAGAATGCCCTACAAGGCCTGATGTGTGTACAAAGTTTGGACAAAATTCTGACAGCAGAAAACTGCCTTTTAAGCAATTCATAACTATATATCTGTTTATTTCTGCAACTGCATTGAAAGACATATTTATTGAGGATGTAGAACCAGCAGACAAAAATTCTCCCTTTTTTACTTTGTGCTACAAATAAATTGCTTTATTGACACCTTTGCTGGCAAAGCTAACTCCAGGGTAATTCTCTTCCATTCTCTGAGGCTCATAAGAACTACTATAATCAAAAAACATACTAGGACACTTGTAATGCTTTTCCACAGGAGTCAAAACCTTGTCATTTAGACTGAGTGGTGACAAATGTATTATTTTAACAATGCACTGCCATTCCATTTGGAACAAGCTAATGCTGGTATGTGGCCAGTGGTTTGATTTAAGGTATTAGTGTTACTATTAAGTCTTTCTTTTCAAGGTCATGGCAGACATACTGTCAAAAGTATGACGGCCAACATCAAAAGTCGGCCAACATCAAGACTGAATTTTAAGAAAATCTTCAATTGAGAAACCACGGTATATGTTATCTCAGAATTCTCGTACAAGGGTAACAACAGCCTTTTGAAGAAAATTAGAGAAAGCTCAAAAGATAAAATGCTGGGGAACAAAAACAGCAACGAATATGGTCTAGCTGAAACCAACAAATGAAGATTTCACCTCTACCCACCAGCATACTTGCAACTTTTCTTTTTCTGAAATGAGCACATATTCAAATGACACACATGGTTTTGGGAACAGCAGGAGCATTACTCTGTTGTGATGAATTTACAAGATATCCTACAGCTTGCTAAAGGTCACCTAGTGAGTGTGTTACATATAATACATACAGAACTGATTTCCACATTCCATATTCTACTCAGAACTAAAAGAAAAAAGTCTTTAACATACCTTTTGTTGCCAGTCGGACACAGTTGATTTTGGTCTCCTGTAAATGACAGAACACACAAGCGCATCAAGAGTGATTATTTCTATATTCATTGACAGCTTAAGAAGTAGCTTTCTCAATAAGCTGCAGCTGGACACAAACACTTTATGGAGCACACGTTTTTAGCACTTCTATATTCATTGACAGCTTAAGAAGTAGCATTCTCAATAAGCTGCAGCTGGACACATAAACACTTTACACATGTTTTTAGCACAATAAATATAGTTTTCATGAACGGTATTCTGATATCTTCCTTTCCAGTTGTGCATCTGCTACAGTAATACCACATGTTTTTGTCACAATATGCTGTACCCGAGAAAATATGATGACGGCCAGAAACCAACTCAAGAATTGTGCTGGCTTAAGCCCACTGGTGTACAATTTCAGCAATGAATTGCTATTAGTTAAGAAGGCAGCATAGTTATTTGCTGTCATGGGCCAAATCACTAGAGAGGCACTGAATATTTACCCGGACTTATTAACTAATAGTCATCCACTTCTGAAATTCATGCCAGTAGACTTATGTCATAAGTAGATCTGGTCAGTGATGTACAATTAAGGACATTTCACAGACCAGGACTTCTATCTCAATTTTCTACAGGGATATTCAATGTGACATATTACAAAAGCTAAAGCAATAATGATTTCACAGCTCTCTCTTGTCCTGTTCTCTCCTGTCCACTCTGTGTTTGGGTGTGTGCAGATACCCAGGTGAATTAAATTGTTCACATGGAGTTGCTAGAATGCTGCTGAAGGAGGAAACAGGTTTGTATTGGTCTTTGGAACCTAAACATCAAATGCAACTTTTTTAAACCACAACTTCTGTAATTTTCTGAAGTATGCAATAAAATTCACTCACCCACCCATGCCACAAAGCATGCAAAAATACACGTTTGAAAAAGCGAGTAGCAAAATGGAGACACTCTGGGGGAAATGCACACAAAAATACTTTATTCAGTTAAGAAATTCCCAGAGGTAGATGTGTCAACATGTTGCAACAAAAACAAAATAGAACTTTTATACAGTACTGTGCAAATGGTCCTAGGCTCGACTGTATGCACCTACAAAAGTGGGCTATGTCCAATAAACCTGCATCAATTTTTTTTAAAAAAAGTCTTTCAGGTGCCATAAGATTCCTTGTTGAAAACATTTAAAATATGCAGGCAGAAGTGGGTACCAGGGATGTGTGGGGAAAAAAATCTCACAAATCTCTTGTTTCTTGGATGAGGTGGGCTGCCTTGATGTGCTGTAACAGCCTATCAAGGGTTTTCCAGTCACCATGAAAGTTCTTGCTACACAAGCAAGACCCAAAGTGGTTCCCTCCATTGAAATGTTCACAGTTGAATGTGCACAGTTCAGGCAAAATGTATCATCCCTTACCAAATTAAAGTGTCTATCCACAACACTAGCTTCACCTTTTTCCTGAATGTGGACAAAATACTGTTCTCCTTCATATTTGCTATAGGACTTATAAGGGAAAACAGGGACGTGGTGGCGCTGCGGGCTAAACCGCAGAAGCCTTTGTGTGCTGCAGGGTCAGAAGACCAGCAGTCGTAAGATCGAATCCACGTGACGCTCCCGTCGCTTTGTCCCAGCTCCTTGCCAACCTAGCAGTTCGAAAGCATGTAAATGCGAGGAGATAAATAGGTACCATTTCGGTGGGAAGGTAAACAGCATTCCATGTATAGCCGCGTTGGCCATGTGACAACAGAAACTGTCTTTGGACAAAGGCTGGCTCTACGGCTTGGAAACGGGGATGAGTGCTGCCCCCTAGAGTCAGACATGACTGACTAAAATGTCAAGGGGAGCCTTTACCTTTACCTTACAAGGGAAAGAATGACATCTGTAGTTCAGGCAAAATGATCCTACAACTGAATGCTTACTATCTTTTTCAACTCATTCAGAGTGAATTGTGCTACCACTACCTCTCTCCTCCTGTACTATTTAATGAGGCAGTTTCTGCTCATATGGTCCATGACCCTGTTATATATCACAGTATGCCTTTGTGGTTCTGTAAAGTTACTTTGTCAGGCAATAATAAGGTTTCTTTTCCACTTCTGATTTTACACTGCCATGTACATGTCTCTGATGTAATGGATATTACATAAATTATGGTATGTTACAGATCTCTATTAATATGGACATTTTATGCACATTTTGCAAGCATAAGCATGGGACCACGGTGTAGCTTAATAGGAAATTTTAAAAATTAAAATATTGTTCAGTTTCAGAAACACCGTCTTCTAACAAATGTGATCCCTGTGAGGAAAAAAGAAGTTTTGGAGATACTTCAATGCACTTTTTTCCTTGTTCAATCCACACAATAAGCTCTAAAATGTATGCATTTCTAAACATAAAACTGTTTTTGGAGGTCCACATTTGGTTGTGCAGTATGAGAATTGGGTAATTTCACATGAAGTTATGAGCTCAGCTTTCTAACATTTTAGGTTAGAAAGGTTACTCAGTCAGCTATGTCCACCTCTTTGAAGTTACAAGCAATTTTATCCAAAGTAGCAGAAAAGGAGAGGAGAAAACATCAAGAAACAGACTTCAAATTGAGAACACATACAACATAACCACAAACTGTCTGTACTTCGGTACATAACATTTGATTTGGAAGGCTTCATCCCTCAGGCATATTATGCCTGCAAATTTCAATGAAATTGGAAAAAAAAGTTTAGAAGTGATATTTATTTATTTTATGTATTTTATTTTATTTGTACCCCACCTATCTGGTCATTGCGACCACTCTAGGTGGCTTCCAGACAAAAAAAATACAAAAAAATACATATAACAAAATAAAAAATGTAAAGCAATAAACAATAAGCAATAAACAATAAACAGATACTTCAAGATGGCAAGATGACGAGAATAAATTGAGAAAGAAAAGTTAAGTATTATCTGGAGGGAAGCCAGTGTTGGCCATTTGTTTTAAGCCACAACAATATTGACAATACATGGTTGTGTAAGGGAAATCACGTTAACTCTTGCTTCTCATTAAGGAGGAACTAGCTGCATTCCTAGGCACACACCCGCTTGGATGATCAGGTGCACAATCAGTCCCTGGTTAATGAGCAGCAGTTTGCTACCAAGCCTTATGCAATTCCCTTTGCACAAATGTAAGTCAGCAATAGGATTCTGGCCAGTGTGAACCCAAGACATCAGAAACCAAGAAAAAGAAATGTTTTGCCTCGGATCACAACCAAATCATGATGTCATTTCAAAGCTCCAATCCAAGAAAGTGTGGTGTGAAAGCTTATTTGGAGGTGCACATTGCCAGTGTCCACTCCTTTAGTCAGAAGGAAATAGTTCATGAAAATTTTAAAAATTACTCCTTTTCTGCCCTTTCACTGATGGTTATGCTAAAAACTTTGTGGGAAGAGAAATAATGGCTCTCTCAGAGGGAAAACTTCTGGTTCTTTTGAAGAACTTGTTGAAATGATCTGGAACAACCAAACTTCTTCTCATGCAAGTGGAATTGCAAAAATTTGCTTCTTGCCCATAAGACAATAAGGTATTTCTTGCTGCTCTCAATGAAACTTCTCAAAAGAATTTTTTGTGTAAATTGTGCAAATTATGCAAAGCCCTCATAGCTGCTATCTTGTCGCATAGACTGAGAATTAGAAATGTAGGATGAAGCCCAGCAGCATAATCCATGTTGTGTACCTCTGCTGACACTACACTGCTGGATTTCAGCCATTAGCTGGATTGTTTGCATCTTTTTTGTGAAATCACCCAGGCTTTCGGAATGAAGCCTGCAGGGCCTTTCCTGTCATCAGCAAGCATTCACACTTCCTACCCAATCCTGTCTCAGAAGGAAACATTTGCTTAGAAAGAAAAGAACTGGCATAGTAGACTGGTTGCTGGTGTCAAACACAAGACAAGTCAGGCAGTTTATGAACTCCTCTAGTTTTAAATTTGAATGCATTGAGAATTATAGCTAAGTCCAAGGTGACCTTGGACGTGTTCAACCTGGATGTGAATATCTCAATTTCTCTAAATCTCAGCAGCAGTTTCTTCCTGACCTTGTTTTGCATCAGATTGTGAGGTTTTAATGTTTTTTTATGTGGAAATTAATGTACATTTTAATACACTTTTCCTGATGTGCATGTTTATTTATGCATTTTACCTGGTTTGTTCATTTCTTCACATAAGTTATTACTGTCCTTATTCACCCCTTGACCATAGTGTATTTTGCAGTTGCACATATTTAAGGCATGCACATTTTACAAAATACCCGTATGTTTTACGTGCACTTATTTTTATAAAATATGCCATAAATACTGTGCTTCCAAAGAAGCATAGGGAATTGAAATTGTCAGCTTGTTAAGCTGGATCGTATATCACCTCTCAACTAAGTATGTTATACAGTGGAAAGAGCTATGCCTTTATGACATATGTTCCCATACTATAGAATACAGTTAGAATAAAAAGAGGATCAACTTTGAAAGTGTTGTTTCCAACCAATCCTGAAAGTAATTTTAACATAGCAATCCTTATACAGTTCACCCTAAACTTTGCTTTGTTTCTTTTGAAATAAATTTACTGAAAGCTACAACAGTGTAGGATTTTTGTGTTGCTGCAGCTCTGCTTTGTGTCAGAGTGAGCTCTGTAAAAAGACCTCATACCTTCTGCCACCATTAGATATGATTGGTGCACTGAAAAAGAACTAAATTAATAAGTAGTTATATAACAAGTGTACTAAATTGCAGTAGAATTAGATCAGAGTCTCTCTGGTATCTGTTGCAGAGTGCTATATTTGTAGTTTTTGTGTGTGGCAGGATAAGAGAGTTGTTCATTTGAGTTCCAGGCTATGTACTGTCATAGGGGAGTTGGATTGTCTGCTGGGTCTCCAAGAAGATTCTCTAAATGTGTGAAATAGAACATTCTTTAGATTCATAGTATAAAACGCCTGTTTTTGAATGGCACAGATTTTGTTCCTTAAGCTTGTCAAGAGCCAGATGGTTAACTGAAATGTATCAGAATTCAGTGCAAAAGAAAATCAACAAAACAAAAACAGACGTCTAAGCCAAGTTTTATACTTAGGAGTGGGAGGGAAAAACACAATTAGTTCTTTCTGATCCAATGTGAATCATGTAATAAATTGACATGATGTGAAACAACCTGTAGGCTACCAAAAATAAATAAATAATCCACGCAAAGTGTGCAGCTTATACAACACCCCATAGAGCTTAAAGCACCCGCTGGGCAGTTTACAATTTAATTATACAGGCTACACACTTCCCCCACCCCCTGCAAGCTAGCTGCTCATTTTACAGAACTCAGAATGATGGAAGGCTGAGAGAACCTCAAGCCGGCTGCCAGAATCTGCTGAGATCGAACGCTGTCTGTGAGCAGAGTTTTGACTGTAATTAGAGATGGGGAAGACACGCCATTTTGGCAAGCTGTCCCACTTCGTGAGTCATCAAAAGTTGACAACTCACAAAGCACGAAGTTGCCCCCATGAAGGGATGAATAATGAAGTTATTTGTCGATTCATGGGGGTTTATTTCAAATACAAGCCACCCCCTGCTGCCACCCCTACAGCCTCATTGCTGCCACCCCTCCACCCCATCTCTGCTGACACCCCTTACCGTAACTGCTGCAACCACTGAGGTCTCCATCTGTCCTGCGCAACCTCGGTGTGTAAAAAGGGAGACTGGCTGCCCTTTACAAAGATGGCGGGTGCTGTTTCATTTAGGGTAGAGAAGCTGCAACTGCCATATTTGCAAAGGGCAGCCTGGATTCCCTTAGCCTGCCTTAAGGGAATCCAGGCTGCTCTTTGCAAAAGATGGCAGCTGCAGCTTCCCTACCCTAAATGAAGCCGCATCTGCCATCTTTGCAAATGGCAACCAGTCTCTCTTTTTACATGCCATGGCTGTGGAGGCCAGATGGAGACCTCAGCAGCGATTATGGTAAGGGGGTGTCATCTGAGGTGCGGGGCTAAGGTAGGGAGAGGAAGGGGGTGGGGTAGGCTGTGGGTGTGAATGGCTGCCTATCGGCCCTACAATCAGATGATTGACGGCTGATAGGCAGAATGTGTTTTTTAAAAAAAACATCTTTTTTTGGAAAGATGAATAAAAATGTGAAAATATTCATCAATGTGTTTTCGTTGGGACTTAAAATTTGATGAATACAGATCAATGAATATTTAACGGATCGTCTATTTTCATTTGGGTTTAGGCAAAGATGACAGGAATGTTTTATCTCCTTAAATTAGTCCATTGAGAAATCTAAATATTCCTTATTCAGTTTTGGAAATCTCTGTTTTACACACACCAAATGCAGCCAAAACAGCAACACAAAACCAAGGTAAATAAAACTAACATTTCCATTCCCATTGACTTGTTTATGTCTGAATGGTGCCTGATACTTAATTCATTTATTTAAAACATTTCTACTCCACCTTTTTCCTTAAGGAGGACCCAAGGGGGATTGTATCATTCAAAGACAATATTTTAAGCAAACCAAAACAAAACCTTATAACTGTACAGATATTCAAAAGGAACAAACAAATATGACAGTAAAATATGGTAATTGCTCCAAATGTATATGGATGATTGAGCGCACCAGCACATGGATTACTGCAGTTGGTATAGATTTAATTACCAAAGTCAGTGACTTTATGTTAAAGTGTAATTATCAACACATTTAATTGAAATAAGGTGTAAACTACTGACACACGGTTTACCACAAAATGGGTAATAATAATGTGGGTGCAATGCTGTATGAACCAACATGCTTTCTCTTGCTTTGTTGCCTAAATCCTCTGTTGTCAGACATATGCCTGTGAAAATAAAAATGCAGGCTTGTCTCTTCCTATGCAGGATGTAGATATTAATAGGGAACAGGAGCTGGGAAAGGTTATGAAGAAAACTGAAGCATCATAGCAGTGGTGGGGAACAAAAGAAGTGCAAGGAAAGAGGGAAGGTCACTTTTTCTTTCACATTGAGCTACCTTGCTTGTGGCATTTGATTTAAATGCATCTGTTGCAGAATCCTAGTCCATTGCTTTCTCCACTACACCACACTAGGAATCACATCTGTCTGTGTGAAATCCTCTACAGTGGACCCTTGACTTACAGACGGCTTGACTTACAGACTTTTTGAGTTACAGACTTCTCTGGCTGCAAAATTTAGGTTTGACTTGCAGACTGAGAATTGACTTACAGACCAGAAAAAAACCAAAATGAAACAAAAACGGCCTGTTACGGGATTAATCGGTTTTCAATGCACTGTAGGTCAATGGAGACTTGACTTATAGACTTTTTGACTTGAGAACCGCCTTCCAATACGGATTAAGTTCTCAAGTCAAGACCCCACTGTATAAGTATATTCAAAACTGTTCAGCTACTTTTTTCAATTTAATTTGCTAATACGGACTCTCCAATTCAAATTAGCAAACATGCCAGGACAACTATCCCTAGTGAATAGTTCAGTCCAGCTCCACGTAGGTCACCTGTGCTTACATTATGATGATTTTTTAAAAAAAACCCTCTAACTAGTAGGTAGATACTCGAGTGTGGCGTAGTGCACAGAGAACAGGACTTTGGAAGCCAGGATCAGAATTCCCGCTCAGCCATGGAAATTCACTGGGGGAATGAAACTGGTAAAACGACTCCTAAAATATTTCACTTACCCTGAAAGGCCTATTAGGGTCACTATAAGTCAGTACTGACTTGATGGCATATAACAAGTACAATTGCTGGCTTTGGCTTAAAATAATGAATACTCTGACTCATAAAATACATATTTTAAGGTGCATTTTGTTATGTGAAAACTGAAGGATAGGTACATTCTCACCTGCAAATTAATTTGGGAGGTAGTACAGCTTATATGAGAATTTCAGCTTATATGAGAATTTCTAGAAAACAAATCCATACAGAAAACATCCCACCTTTTTGATCCCAGCCATTAAAGTACATATGTTGTGCATATCCCTAAGAATAAAATGCAATTCACTCAGCCATATATTGTCGACTTTGACACTTACATAGTTGTACACAATTGTCCAGCGACCAGCAGTATGTTCTATGAGTTAACTCCCTAACTAACAACTGCTTGGCCCACTGCACTCATGTCTTTAAAACAAAGCTGTTACTATCAAATATGTGAAATACCAAGGCATATGCATTTTTATCAAAATGCTTGATGAAGCTGACCTTCTCAGGCCACAATTACATGGCCTACTAGGCCAGAAAGCTAACATATTTAACACACTTACCCCATTTGCTTTACTGAGTGCCTGAAAGTAAATGCTGTAACTTTTCAGTGGTGAAAGTGGAGCATTCCAATAGCCATTATAGGTTTTGTTGTCTCCCACTGTGAAAGGCTGTGTGACAGGAAGGTTGACCGGCTTCAATTCTGCTGCAAAGTAATGGGGAGAGTCGACACTTGAGGCATTTTTGAAGCTCACGGGAACAGAGAAACATTCAATGATGTCTGCAGCTCTTCGTGATTTCTGTGGCCTTTCTTCTTTCACAACAAGCTGGTAAACACTGAAAGAAAAAGAGGTTTATCACAATAAAGATGAATTGTAAGTAGCAAAGCAAAAGTTACACCCTAGAAGAACAACTTTTCATAATCCAGTAGAGAATGTAATGTGTCAAGTAAGTAAGGTAGAGCCCAAATGGCTGCATTTATCCAAGAGGAATCCTTAGTAAGATGGATGTAGAATGCCTAAAAAATCCTACAACACAGGTGGGCTTGCTTGAGAGACCTAGTCAATGACTATCCTTTCTTTCAGTGGAAAACAAACCTGCTGGACTGGTCTTTGAAGTGTAGAGGAAAAGACACACAATCTGAATTTGGTGCCTTTGGCAAAGTCCCATGTGCCTCCCCCTGGCTATAGCAGGAGACAGCTAAGGAGTTGGAATTCTATTTTAACATGTTGTAAGTATCTTTGATGACATATCTCACTTTTTAGCTATATCATAGCTAAAAAGTGAGATAGAGCTAAATAAGTGAATAAATAACCAAATGGTTCATATCTTGGACCTAAAAAGCTGGAGAGAGAATTTATGGCAGTCTTTGCTAGGATAATTGTGGTAATTCTGGATGTCCTGTTTGGCAAAGTATAATCCCTAACCCTAACCCTTAGTGTAATTATGTATTGGGATTTCTAATTCAGTTTTTCATATTCAAGAAATGACTGCATGCCATCCAAATATAGCATGCTTTGTTCTCTCTTTCATTCCTAAAGCTCTCAGGTTTGGCACAGACAGAGCAGCAGGCTTACTTGAGTCTTAACTGTAGTCACCCATCTGACAAAGAGAAAGGTATCATGGCGTGTCACTTCACTTCTCATCAGGGTATTCATATATGCTGCCCTCAACTGTCTATATAAATAGTTTCTTTGTCTTGTCAGACAAAAGGGATCGATGGAAGGCCTGGAAACAGCCGTTCACCCATCAACCAGTTGCTGTTAGAGTGTTGTGGCAGAAAGACAGGTCTTTTTTGCAAAATCTTGCCAACATTAGTGTTGGAAGCAATGAAATGGCAGCTAAAGCAGGAAAGAAAATCCTAATCCACCTGTGTAAATCAATCACTGTCTCTTTTTCTGACTGCACACCATACTCTTCTCTAAAGGAGAAGGAGGAAGGGGAGAACGGGTATTCTTCAAATGACTGTCATTTATGGAGAAAACGGAAATTTAGAGGGAAACATACATATTTTACACTGCAGGATGTCTGTAAACTTATGCATGTATCTTTTATAAACAGAGGTATAAGGGACGGGGTGGTCAGGACAGTGTCTTCTCGATTCAGCCTCTGAAATCTGCACATTCAAGGCAATGCCTGTTCTGGGACTGATGAAGATACATCCCAATGTGAACAGGTTGAGAACCTATCATTTAGGCATGTACAGTGGTACCTCGCAAGACGATGACCCCGCTAAACGATGAATCCGCATAACGATGACTTTTGCGATCGCTATAGCGATTTGAAAACGGTCATTCCAATGGGGGATTTTTGCTGGACGTTGATTAGGTCCATGCTTCATGAACCGTTTGTTCACAAGATAACAATTTTTCCGATGATTGTCAGCTTCGCAAAATGGCTGCCCTATGTTTTCCGGACCCATGCTTTGCAAGGCAGCCATTTTTACAGCTGATTGGCGCTCGCAAAATGGCTTCCCTATGGGCGATCTTCACTGGACAACAAGGTATTTTCCCCATTGGAATGCATTAAAGCGGGTTTCAATGCATTCCAATTGGGAAAGGTTTTTTGCATGATGACTATTTCGCTAAACAACGATTTCAATGGGACGGATTATTGTCGCCATGCGGGGCACTATTATATACAAAAATCATGGAAAAGATTCTAAGGGAAGTTAATCTGTGCATGCCTGTAAATGTTTTGTTACAAAGAGTGAAGCAGGACATTTTTCTTGTAGTACTACAATAGCCAGACATGACATAGTCCATCAGTGTTCATTCCTCTTGCAAAACTATCTCAGGCTAGCTGAAGGAAAATACTCACCACCTAACTGCAAGGAATTCACATACAGTGTATTGATTACTGTGGACTTCAATATGCTTACATGTACTTGCATACTTTTGATTCACAATACTAACTATTGCCTCTTGGCCATTATATCTGGAGGTGATAAAATAATATAAAGTACTGCATGTATATGCTTGCATAGAAAATATAAATGTGGCATATCAGATATATTAATCAATGCTGTGGTGGCATTTGAGGTCTAATCCACTGTGGTATAGTGCACTGGTTCTTAACCTTGGGTTACTCAGGAGTTTTGGACTGCAACTCCCAGAAGCCTTCACCACCAGCTGTCCTGACTGGGGTTTCTGGGAGCTGCAGTTCAAAAGCATCCAAGTAACAAAGGTTAAGAACCACTGGTATAGTGGATAGAGTGACAGATTAGAACTCAGGAGGCCTGGGTTCAAATCTCTGTTCAGCCATGAAAGCTCGCTGTGTGCAGTAAAACCACTCCTTAAATATTTAACTTATCTTGAAAACCCTATTAGTGTCATTACAAATCAGTTCTGACATGATGGCACAAACCAACAAAGGGTCAAGTTGACAATTCTACTTACATTTTCTAGCCTGTAGTATGTCTCCATAAATCAAAAATATTCTCATTTTTATTCCAACTGCTAAAATATTTCAACAATTTACACTAAAAATTGTTTTTGACTCTAAAGCTGAAATAAACTAGAAATGTTTTTAATCAGTATGTACAAACCAAAATTGGCTCCATTTTTAGGTACTCACATATGCATAAAGCAGAGTTGGACAATGTAGAACAGCTATATAAGTCACTCCCCATTTTTTAACTTCTCTGATATGTCAGAAACCTCAATACTGCAGATTTATGGGGGATGTTGTTGTTAAAAATCAGCATGTTTTAATTAAAGGTACATTTTTTCTGTGTATGTTAAAACTGGAAGTGATACTCCAGCTACTTCCAATTTTGACTCAGCCTTCAAAAACCACATGACAAGTTCTACATAATCAAACTTCCCTTCCTGACATCCTGAAAACGAGTAAATAGAAGGGCAAAAGCTTCAAAATATTCACAGCAGGCTAGCCAACCAGCCAAGTAACCAACTAACCAATGATCAAATTACACTACAAATCCTTAAAATTTGAGTTAAAATTTGAATTATTGTAGGATGTGTTTCAACTTATGGTTTCATTTGCCATGCAGTAGCTGAAACCCTGATAGCATAGTTATGGCTGAGGAGGAATGATGCCGTCACCAGCTGTGATTTTCAGTAATGAAAGACTTCCTCCTTCTGCCCCACAGCTTTTGTGGCTTCCAAATATTGGAAGTCAAAAAACTGTAAGAGAGAAGGGGTACTAAAAATCTCCTCCTGCTGGTGGCATGATAACCCTTCCGTAAACATAGCTATGCCATCAAAATTCTGTCAGTATGCATTTAAAGATGTTGCTCATGGTTCTCA